TTTGGGTTTGGTAGACTACATAGGATATATATAGGTGAAGTCAGCAATATTGAGAAGATCATTATCAAGTTGTGATGGAAGATGAATTCTAACTTAATGGCGAAAGAACATTATAAGAATGTCCTTCATCTAACTAACCCCATAAGGGGGTAAACTCCATCTTAATCATACTGTGATAATAATGATTGATACGTACATGTAAGAATTGTATGGATGCTCCTCAATCCTGAGTGCTTAATTAGTGAGGTTTATGCCAGTTGGAGAGAAAAATGAGGAATTAAATGATTGATTCCTTCATGATGAGAATTGGAGCAGAGCTACATGTGCAATTATCCCAGGAAATGAAACAACTCTAAAATATATCAAAACAACCAAGAATTAATCTCCAACATTCCTTTTAAAAGATATTCCTGCAATGAATTCCTTCTTCGGCAAATCAAACAGCCCTCTAAACTCTCTCTAAAATTTATTTGTTTATTTTCAATTATATAGACTATTATGATGCCAGTACATTAGAAGTCCATGCTGTTGCAAGTTTATTGCTCATACAAAACTAATCCTAAAATGCACTGCACAGAAGTTATAAGTTATACGCCAGCCAAAACAAATTAGCCAAAAAAACACAATAAAACATTTTTCAAATCTATTAACAAGCTATTTACAGTGAGCTACAAAACAATATAGAAAAGAAGCAACAACGAGCAAGATGTATGGTTTATACAATGCAGGTATTTACAATATGTTACCATCATTTGCTTGAACCACTGCCCTTTGATAATAGAAAAAGTTTGATAGAATATTTGAGCCGAAGAAAATAGAATTGAAGACATATAGTGTAGCAATGTCCTCCAGGCTTTCGATAAAGTCCAAATCTTCAGTAGAGCCTTATTCGAGTGGAGATGACATTTTTACAGACAGGACATAACCGTAAATCTTTCCCACAATTATAGCAAGTCTGCAAATTTATAGAAATAATGGTAGTTTTGGTTAAAAAACGAACAGAAATGAATTCCCTAGTGTGTTTTTTTTACTTATTTTTACTCATTTTACCTGGTGCCCACAGCCGAATGCAAGATCCTTATGCTGATAAAGGCAGATGGGACATTCCTGTTAAAACAAAAATTAAATTAGTCTGAATAGTCTGTTATACAGCTTACTTGAGGTTATTTAAAGGAAGATTATCTAGTATTAGATGATGCAGGGAGTGATTTGGCATGCAAAAACCAGGTAAGGATTAAAAGAGTCTCATTGTAAGAAATAAAATGTGAGTGGAAAAAGCATTAAAAATCCAAAAACCTATAGATTCCAGAAAAAATCCTCCATAGATTCTTCCCTATTTAGTACCACTCTTAACTTAGTAGCAATCTTAACTGAAAATTCATAAAAAGAGAAATTACCTATCCTAGTTCAAGCTAAGAATAGAAAAAAAATTTGGTCAGTTCGTTTGTAAGTCTTTACATTAAATCATCATAGTAGATTGATGCATTTAAGGGCCTCAGCGTTTTAAATATAAAGAAAAATAACGGTTTATTTTTTTTGCGCCTCTACTGATGCATCACATCCGAATGCCCATAAGAAATTCTTTACGAGCATGACCATAGATAAAACATGAAGAAAAAGTTTTACAATCACTTCAGGTTGCATAAATTTTCGATAATTAATCTCCACACTTCTGATCCACATTTAAATAATGCAATAGAAGGTAGGTAAAGAGTGAAAAAAAATAGGAAAGATTTACATGCATACAACAAAATTCCTATGTATTTACATTTCCACAACCTAAGATTTGAATTTTACATTTAACACTTATGCATTTAAAGGAGTTTTTCTCTTATAAGGAGTTGGTGAAATCAGTAACTTTCATGTGATACTAAAGATTTGACTGTAATAAAATATGTGTGTGTGTTCAGTAACTTTCATGTGATACTAAAGATTTGACTGTTATAAAATATGTGTGTGTGTGCGCGTGCGTGAATTGCGCAGTACGTATGTAAATGCCCCTAAAAATGAACAGGTTTTAGCTAGCTTGGTTGGTAAACTTCTTAAAATAATTGCAAAAAAATTTGGTTTCTAACCTTGCTTACATCGAATTTGAGCACCGCCCCACATTTGATGCACAGACCCTAACATTGAAGGTACAGAAACAATATTACCAGATAACCGCCACAACTTACAAGTAGAGTTAAACCCCAGGATCAAACATCAAGAATGCATCCAACAGAGCATTCAAGCCAACTCCACACGAGGATAAGCTAGTTTAGAGTGGAGAATAAATGAAATCAACTGATATTTTCAAATCCGCTCTAGCTATGAAGCGCATCAAGTGCCACGATTTTGGGCACAGTGCATCAGATTGCCCGAACAAGAGTATGATCTCTTTCACTAGGAAGGGAACAGTTAAAGAAATGAGCAATGACACAAAAGAGGATGAAGACTTCAAAGAGAAGACTTAACTTCCAACCGACGAGGAAGAGTAAGTTAGTGATTCAACCTAACCCAAAGCAAGAGAATACAACATGATTAACATTGATTGTCCTCAAAGATAGTGAGTCTGTGGAGCTAATTCCAAAAAAGGGTCGACCTCTATTGAGAGTTATCGGATGTCTTAGCTAACAGTTTAACTCCGAGTGGTTGTCATTGAGAGCAGTCAAGCATGTCATAAATTTCATTTTAGAGCCAATTCCTCCAGAAGAATTTGTTTATCAGATGCACCCAATCAAGTACGAGAATTGAAAGAAGCATGTTACAGATTTCATTTTTTGAGACTTAGTTCGTGGGTGTACTAGTCCAACTGCAGCTTCAACTCTGATTGTCAGGACATGCTTTGTAATGATGTTTATGTTTTAGGGTTGCATGGAATCATTGATTTTATAGTAGGAATGACTCCGACTGAGTGATCTAAAATTTCATGATTGTCTAAGATAATAAAAATGCATTTATGTGCATTGGTACATTAGCGTCCTACGCTAATACCATAAAGAAGTAACACCCAAATTTTGAGAAATCGGTTAAATTCGACAAATTCTAAAAGTACACAAAAAAATTTCATCTCCCAGAATTTGATCAAAATAATTTTATTAAATTCTGCGCATGAAATCGATCAAATTGATAAAAAGCACCATAGGTTATTTGTGAACGGATTGGTAGATATAAAATTCAAAATTTATATGTTTATTTCACTTAATAAATCTTAATTATCTCTAATTAATTCTTCTTAATCCTCAACACTATAGCCAATCGACTTACGCCTTTTATTTCTTTCAATCGGTCAAAAAGAACCCTCTAAGGCTTCATATTTTCCTTTTTTCTCTCCCAATTCCTTCTTCCTCTCCCTTGATCTTCCTCCCCTATTCGATCACGCCGCCTGGAGCTCCCGCGTAAAGAAAACTGCGAGCCAACCATAGCAGTCAAGCGATACAGTTAGGTAACCGAGTGTTGCAACTCGGGATTTAGGGCTCCAGGGTGATTTTCATAAGTGTGAATCCCTCTTTCATGATATTTGAAACATTCATTTCATTTCTCATCCTTTTGTTTTAACGTTTGTATGATTTTTCGTGCTTTTCTCGTTTCTAATAACTGTCAGAGGCGCCAAGTTTGGGCCGAAAGTATCGTAATTAGTTTTGCAAAATTCTAAAAATATTTTAGCACGACTTCAAAGAGAAGTATAGTTGAGGTGATAGAAAGGAGAGAAAGAGAAATTGGTGTTTTCGGGAGAGCAATTTTATGTCGAACAATCCTTTTAAGGTATATTTTGGCCTTTAATGCTTATTTTGGGTTATTGCATGCTATGAGCAGAAATTTTATAAATTCCTATGATATTTACATTTTCCATGTTGTGTATACGAGGCGGCGAGCTCGAGGCAAGCGTTGTATGATTTTTCGTGCTTTTCTCGTTTCTAATAACTGTCGGAGGCGCCAAGTTTGGGCCGAAAGTATCGTAATTAGTTTTGCAAAATTCTAAAAATATTTTAGCACGACTTCAAAGAGAAGTATAGTTGAGGTGATAGAAAGGAGAGAAAGAGAAATTGGTGTTTTCAGGAGAGCAATTTTATGTCGAACAATCCTTTTAAGGTATATTTTGGCCTTTAATGCTTATTTTGGGTTATTGCGGCGAGCTCGAGGCAAGCTTATAGAAACTCGTCGTAGGGCTGCTTAGTCTAGTTAGGTGAATAATCTTATGTTAAACTAAGAAAATTATTCTTCTATAAATTTCATATGATTTCTAGTTTGACACAGATGCATTTAAAAATTCTGACATATTGCAGATGAATACCTGAAATTGAGTTATGAATGCAAGTTGACTTTTATTATGCTACAAGTGATTCTACGCTATTTGAAAATCCAGATGATTACACATATAACACTAATTGCTTGCAGATATTCATTCAATTATGATTCATACTTATGAGATATTAAATACCCGATTGCAGAAATTATGCTTTATGAAATACCTGATGAGCGTTGCTACAGGCATCATTATTTAAGAAATGTTACAAATAATTTTAAAAAATAGACTATTGCATGAGTGCTTCAAGTCATCATGTAGAGATATATTACCGACTCATGATGTTTATACATGGACAAAACTTTGAGAATTATTGGAATTAGTTGGTGACAGAACATTATGGAATCATGGGAATCAGGAGAGTTGTCGATAACTGCTATGTTAGGAGAAACTCAATCTTTATCAATAATTTATATAGCATTTGGGGCAAGTGATGACCCATGATGAAAGAACATGGAAATAATTAAAATCTATACATTAAACAAGTGACATTCGTATGATATGACCTCTATAAAATGAATGAACATGCTTACAATTATGATTTCATGCTTACGACATGCATGTTACGCTACATTTAATTTTTATACCACCCGTATCTATTTTCTTTTCATGTTTTCTAGTATGCTAGCATGTTATGATTGTATGTAGACATGTACAGTTTCATACGATCATGCACGCTACTTTCTTTTCATGTTTAAAATATTATTTTAACCTTGATTATTTCTCTGAGCTTGTTGTTTTCTCATTCTTTGTTGTTGTCTTTCAGGTATGGACAACGAGCACCAGGGCGAGTAGTCATGCGTATCTTTGTACAGCTTTTGCATATTTATTTTTAGGAGTTTGGTATATAAGTTTTGGGTAAGTATTTTTATTGTTATGGATTTAGTAGCTTTGTATAGTTTTCATATTTTGAATGAATTAATTTTCATGATTCTGAATATATAAGTAAAATGTAATGTATCCCGTATGTTGTGGCAATCCAGTTAGACTAATTCATCACCCACTGGGTCCTGATTATAAAAGTCAAGATGAGTGTTGGTGAGAGTTGGTTTGACCAAATTGTCAAACTCTGTGGCAGCTCAGTCGATTCCTAGTCCGGGGGGGGGGGGGGGCTATTAGGGTGTGACAGAAAATGATATCAGAACATGGTTAAGCACAATTATTAGATGAAAGATATGATAGAAACATGTTTGATTTAGAAGAAAGAATGAAATTAAATATGAATTGATTTATACAGAGCTATAGGTTGATCAGTCTGAGATGGACAACCTTTACGACCTAATGTGTCACGTGAACATGATAAAATCATTATATAATAAATTATGTCAATACAGATAAACATATATCGAGAAGAATCAGAAAGTACTGAAGCTAGTCTTTTAGGCCAAATGCAGATAATGAAGTTCGAGTTGATACTGTTTTGGGCATAAATGAAAATCAGAACCAGACAAACACAGATACTAGAATAATTGAGTTACAAAGCATTGTACAACTGATATCACCAACTGATATCACAAGTGGTTGATAAAATGACTGCTATCGAAAGATCCTCCATCTGTTCAGATATGAAACTGGAGCAGAAGTGATTTGACACAAAGATATTTCAGTCTTTCAAGCCGTTTGCATCCATGGGTGCAAGTGATCATACAATTGTTAAAGATTAGCTTTTGAAGTTTGGAAAAATTCTCGATAGTATGATTTGTCTGAAAAACAAAAATGTGATCATAGCTACTTTCATGTTAGAAGGCGAAGCAGAAAGGTTGTGCCAGAAACAACATAGTGAAAAATTTTAGCTGACACATCTTCCATAGATTCAGTGGGA